CCAGCCAGACTAATGCTAGCATAGCCTCCTCCCCCGTGCGAGTCAGAGTGGATCAAAAAGAGCATCTTTGACTTGGAAAGCTTCAAGATGACATTGAGATGTTGCTCCAATCCCTTCTTCAGATAGCAGGGGGGCAGCAGAAGGGGGTGTTTAGGCAGCTGATTTTCGATAGGAAACATCAGAAGCCAAACAACAGCTACCGTAACTTGTATTTTTCCAGCAGGTCACAGTGTTTTTGCGAAGTGCATGGACCAGAGAAATACCTGGGATGGATCCTCCCTCATCCCTGGCCCCTGATTGCCAGCAAAACCATTCAAGTGGTAAAGGGGGCCCCAAATCCCCACTGCTGGTCACAGAAGCGCTCTGTTCTTCAGCCCAAACACTGGGGAAGGCAGGCATAAATCTGTAGGGGGTATGTCACTTGCAGCATGGCGCTACGGGGATCCTACCCTTGGAGAGGGTCACAAGGCACCCCCAGTATTGCCAAAACTGGGATAGGACCAACAGGGGCTGTCCAGACTCCAGAGAAATCTGGAGTCAGGGGAACACAAAAAGTGGCTAAAGGTCATGACAAGCTCCCTCCCTTGGATTGCATGGTCTGGCCTGCACCTTACTGGCTCAGAACAGAATCTCACCATTGTCCTGCCCTAAAGAGATTACCGTCTACATTCAGATGCAATGTGATGTGATTAGCTGGAGCGACAAGAGCAGGCACAAGAGATGGCTGGACGGAGCAGAGTATAAGCATCTTCCTAGGAACCATGGGGATAGTTCATTTAAAAGCAGTTGTATACATGATTGCTGCCTTATTTGGGGTCAGCCCAGAAGGAGCAAGTCAAGGAGGAATAAACTAGATTAAAACTAATTTTAACATACGCTAAAATATTGAAAAGTTGCCTACCTCATTTCATCTTACCCCTTGCCTCTATTCTAGTCTAACCTAGCTTGTTACAGAAACATTGATGCATCTGAAGAGTCCATTAGAACTAGCTAAGGGCAAGCCTTATTTAATGGGAGGGAGGAGCACATGTGTGTGTTTGTGCGTGCACACACATTCAGGTGAATTGCTATATTTTTTCTTTCATAACAAAGATGTGTAAAGCCTTCTAAGGCTCAGTGACCCATGGCAGGTATTCTTCAATTCCCAGCACATACCATAGAGCCCAACCCAAAATCCATTAGTATCTTCCCACTGATTTTAGCAAACCTTTGCTCAGGCCATTAATTTCCTTACATAAGCCTTAAAGACTTCTACCTTACCTGGTATAGCTAACAAAGCTAACCTAGTCCTTGCTGCGCTGCAGATTTTACACATCCAAACTAGCTTGCAGTAGCCTTATTAACATATTTCTGTACCTACATCACGGTAAGCGATTATCATCTCCTGAATTACAACACTGCACCTCTCATCTCAGCCCATAGGACACCTTTTGTTTTCTGGAAGAACTTCCTCTGCTTAAAACCATGGCACAGTATAATGCACTGTCACTTCTGCCAATGATGGACTTCTTTTTTGAAGTACGGGAGGGACTGCTTCCATGCAGCATCAAATCTTTCTCCCCATTTGTCTGCCACACGCGATTAGCTTCCTCATGTGTTGATTTTCACAGCGGAGAGACGTTTCCCTGTCTTTTTTCTGGCAAGCTAAGCCAGAGCCTTCTTAATGTTCTCTGTGAGATGAGACCAGACATTTAGCTCAGCATCCTGTAAGACAAAAGGAAGAACAGTTTCTGTCCCAAGGAGCTGGAGACCCGAAGTGGCTCTTTATGAAGTGCGAACGTGGCAAGGGAGAGTCAGATCCAGCCTCATGTTTGTTTGGTTTTGTACCGATGGGAGGAGGAGCACATTTGTGAAGCTCTTTCCTTCCCAACAGCCTGCAACATCCTTCCACACCCTGGAAGAAAGAGGGTTGGGGCCCCATCCCCGACCAGGTGCTACAAGCCCTTACCGCCCTCCCTACCAATGACAAGCACCTGCTCTCTCTCTGCTCCTCACCAAGTCTGAAATCATCCTTAAGCACAAGCACCTGCTGCTGTTAAAATATAAGAAAACCACAGTCCACCCATCTGTCAAATCCTTACCTCCTCACCCCACAAAATCATGTTGTGCAGCTGTGAACATCTGCCCTAGGCCTCAGTTCTTGCATCCCGTAAGGTCACAAACACACAGGGCCAGTTAATATAATTATAGCATACTGAAAAGAACAATGTGCGTCTGCTGTGAGTGCACACTCATTCATCCAGGTGAGTGCTCTAGCAAAGATCCCTGATTTGGGACTTTTTATAAGCTGTCTTCAGGTCAGACAGGTCTCATTCTGCTCTGAGCAAGTTAGAACAGAAGACCCAGAACTAGTGACCAGATAGTCAGAAAGCACTACGCACCCACACCCCAACAGTCGCATTCTTTTGAAGGAGTTAAGGTTTTCCTTCTTAAGTGCAAGTTTTACACAAAGGACTAGAGAGAAGGACAGAAGGATTAACGGGAGAGATTCCAGAAACTGGTGTAACGACAGACGCATTTGCCTTCGGCCCCATACTTTGCTATTCTGTTTGATGCATTAAAGCACATAATCCCACTGACAGGGTAGATCTACCCTGCTTCTTGGAGAGAAAATTAATCTACACTGACCTTTGTGTTGTCCTGGCAAGTGAGCTACTTCTGAAGCTGGCTTGGGGGTGTCTACACTACACTACACTACTGCCACTTTCTGAATGCAGCCTAGGTGTACCCTCAAAGGCCTGGGCCTTGTGTAAAACTGGAGATTTTTCTTCACATTCAGCTCTCAGATGTGATGTACTTCATCTTGGGGACATACATTTTAGCCCCTCATCCTCCTTGAATAACTAGACATAAATGAGCTAAACTCTCTTCAAATTGCTTTCATGTCCTTCGATATCCTTTTTAGGCTCTTTACACCATTTCCATTTGCAAGTGTCTGTCTCTGTCTACCCCTACTCTGTCTCTTACTGTTAACAATACCTAGCTGTGATCCACAAAATTCAGAACCTACCTGGTTTAAATAGGAAGTTTCCCATAGAGGACAGCTGTACCTGAACGAATTCAGAAAAAGGTTAAACTGCAAGCATTGCCAAGACCTAACCATTTTAAACACCAATTCAAATAAGCTACTGCACTGTACTTAATATAAAATGGAATTTATCCCAGTGTTTTTGGAAATGCACCAAAAAGTTAAAGTTAATATGCTTGGTCCTACAGACATAAAAGAAGCTATCAGCACCACATACATTACAAGATCACTAATTAGGCAATGGATTTCTTTTACTGGGCTGCATCACAAAACCAACTTTCTGCAGAAGACTCCCAAAGCAATTCTGCTCAAATGCACTCAATGTTAGGGTTTGCATTACTTTGGGCTATGGACAAACAGATTGGGAGAGGTTTCAGAAGGAAAAGAGGGAGCTGTTATTTGTAGGAACCTGTAACAATACAACCGTAGCAAAATCCCTCCAACTTTAACCCCAAACAAAGCAGGGTTAAAGGGGCAATTGAGCTTACTTACATCACCAGGTGCTCCTGCACAGGGAGCAGTTACAACATAACAGGTGCCCAAACAGCAGCTCCTTTTCCCCTTCTGAAAGTGATCCAACTGAATGTTTGCCCATGCCCTCTGTTCACCTAGATACAGCATTTATCATTATAGTAAGAGGCATATCAGAACACACTGTATATTCTCTTTAGAATAATATAGGACAATGATGAGCATACAAGCCTGCACATCCAGAGTAAGTATTATGAAGCTGCAAGAAGTCCAAAGAACTGAAGCACCATATGGTGATTTTTTTATTTTTTTGCTTTTTAGCTTCTTGTTCTGAGAAAGTTCAAGTCAACTTTGACCTCAGCTTTGTTTTTCAAAAATGCTCCGAGGGCTAAAACATAAAAGGTACATTCAACATCTGCCTGTAAAACAGGAACTGTTACTCACCCATAAGAGGATTTCTTTGACTGCTCTTCCAACTTGTTTGCTTGCTTTGAATTTTTTGATGGGGAGGGGTGGGTGTGGATGCAGGTGTGAGAGTGTGTGGGAGTGGGGGTGTTCACAGAGTGGTTTGCACATTGACCCATGATTGAAAAGCCATCCAAAAAATCATGGATCATCCATGCTCAAGATTATTGGAATTGGGAGGTTCTTCATTTGCCTAAAGGTAACCTGTTCAAACCCCACTGGGAGATGCCAACAATTTCAGAATGATTTCAGACGCTCATTTGGATTTACCACAAACACCTCCCAGGAGCAACTCCAAAAGGTGAGAAATCAAGCACTGCCACAAAATTCAATTATGACACCCTTGCCTCTGTCTGCAGCTGCTGGCCTCTGGCAATGCCACCACTCCCATCAGGGGCCTGGGCTTCGCCTTTCCAACTGCCCAACGGGAGAACAAAACACACAAGTTAAGGATTGACATCTAACAGCAAGTTCTCGCTATAGCTAGGCAGCAAGACCTTCAACATTAAATTACCCGACCTGAGAAATGCAGAATTTGGCCCCACAGAATGCACATCAGTTAGTCAAAAGACCTAAAATAGCCCCTACATGAAGTCTGCTGCCTAAATGTTCAGATATATTTCAGGGCTGAGGAGTATATACTGAAAACCTGAAACTTTTCATCTTGCTTTCAACCAGAGACTTTTAGTTTAAAATGTAATAAAAACGGTCTTTCACTGCATTAGACAGTTTCATCTTAACCCTAATCTTGGGGCTGGGAGGCAGGTTATTTCTGCCTAACCTACCGGGGCAAGTCCTTCATATAGCATCAGTGAGTTGATCTCAACATTAGGCTCACCCTTTGACTTCACAGTTTCACCCATTCTGCTATAATAAATACACTGATTGGCACCGAGATTGATTATATCCTATTAGATTTTGGCTAAAACTGCCTTCCTTTAACATAGGGTTTATGAGTACTTTGCACGTGCGCGCGCACACAAAAAAATCATTTTTTATAACTATGAAATCCTATTTAAAAAAAGCCACACAGAAAAAACAGGAAAAGTATGTTTAATTTTCTATTAAACATTCAACCAGAATACATTGTATCTGCAAAACAGAATGCCAAGATAATTATCAACTCCAGAACTGCAAAAGAGATAATCATTTAAACAAAATAGATTTTAAAATGTCAGATGATCTCCCCCCATAATTTTATTTCAGGGCAATGAGACATTACAAGCAAATGCTGTGAATCTCAGAGCAAATTCTTTGTCCTGACCACTATTTTTGGATGCCTTTATTTAGTTACATATTTGTTCACTTCCAAAATGGAATGTTCTTTAAAAGCAGATTCCCAATGTTTGTTTAAAAAAATTCTGTCAAATGTCTAGATCCTGCCCAGAAGGCATTTATAAAGAAACACTTTTCTGTTAAGTAAAGGAAGTCTGATAGAAAGTGTCCCCTAAAATCCCATTACAGGTTTTCAAACATTGTTAACAAAAATGAACAAAGTAAAAGAAACTAAACAAGTTATTACCAAGTTATTTGTCTTCATGTTTCCATTGTCCTTCCAACTAGTCCATGTATCTGACTAAAACTGATAGTCAAGGGACTTTATTAAATACGTCCCAAACATTATTTAAATAATTTCATTAGTCAAAACTGATTTCACTTGCATAATACCTGCTAGGACATTGTTCATAACCACTGGTGCCCTAGCTCAGCCTAAAAATCATAATTAGTATATTAACTTTCCATAGACAGAGTTATGGAATTCAGCAAGATAGCACTGAGATCTCTATTAGGATTTAAGAAAGATGGACCTGACCATCCACAACCTGTGTCATGTAATTTCCAATGTCTAATTCCATTCTAGCTTTGACAAATACATGTACACACCAAATGTTGACTGTGAAATGTAGCCAAGTGAGTAATTTAATGAGTTCAAAGTTTAGCTTTGCCTGGCTGAAGCTGTAGGTTCTGAAGTTTCATTGCCAAACCCATGTTCCCAGCCACCTTCAATTTACCTTGAAAGAAAGCCTGCAAAAAGATGAGAGAAAGGTTGTTACACTGTCCTTTATTTTTGGTTACTTAAAATCAATCATTCAGGTTGATATTTCATGTCCTCATTGTACCATTTCATGCAAGTCCCTTCTTCAGCCCTCATTTTGAAGCTGGCTCTCTGGGTAGCCAGGAGAAGGAGGTATGTGGGAGATATGTAGCGTTCTTCCTCCTGACATAAGCCAGACTGCGCTCAGTGAGGTGGCTGTCACCCTGGAACGGAGGGGACCCTGGGTTCTAGTCTAGGCCTTTGCTCATCCCTTACACTGTTCTCTGTCCAGTTTTTTTCCCCTCAATGACTAGCAAATACAAAAGGGCAATGGCTGAGTTTCCAAAGGAGGCAACACCTGGCCTGTGGCATGATGGTTGAAGCACTATGCTCAGAAGTTTGAAACTCAGGTTCAAAGGTTTGAACCTCCACCTGAGCAAGGGGGAAACCTAGAGCTTTGGTCTCTAGGGGCACCCATACACGACTACAGAGGCTGCTATGATGGACTGGAAGTCCAGTGTCGGAGCAGACTCAATTAATTGCTGCTATTGCAGCACTCCAGCGGCCTCGTGCATCAGTGCTTAAAAATGGCAGCAGGGGTGTTTGAACTATAGTCTGTCCAACAGGCTTTAGTGCAAGCACCCTGCCACCATTCTTAAGTACAGGGACGCTGATACAGGAGACATGGCAACGTTTTAATTAGAGCAGCTCCGAGAGTTGCTAGAATTAAAAAGTGCACCTCCCCCACCACCCTTGGAGATCATGTAAAAGTACCCTAGTTTCCCAACTGAATGCCCTAACCACTCAGCTATGGGGGGCAAACAGCTCTCCTTCTCTTTTGTTTTGTTGCCAGGGCACATGCCCAGTCTGCGCACAAATGCAGTCATCTTCACGTGCAGGCTTATGTATCCAGGAACAGGACTCCTACCTGTGTATGAGAGTTATTTTTGGCACTTATGACCAAACCTGGCTACTTAAGACAACCGAGAAGGGAACTGAATGCCACCCCAAGTATTCAATTTATTTACAGGGACCATTTTAAAGGTCTTTCATCTGTATGCTAGTTGACAGAGCTTCCTTTAAATACTCAAAAGGCTATACTCAAAGGAGCAGAGATGTAGTTAGCCGTCTTAGTCTTAAGTCCAGTGGGGGGGAGTTGGGGTAGAGAGAGAGACTCTGTGTGTGTGTGTGTGTGTGTGTGTGTGTGTGTGTGTGTCCATCCCAAGCTTACTCAAAGGAGTAAGCAAAGGATTTTTTTTGTGGGAAGTCACTGTATTCTTCACACACAAAGTAGTTGAATCCTGCTTTAACTGTTGAACACGCAATTCAACCATAACTACTGAATCATAAATAGTGCTTCAATAAAATGTCTATATGATCAGGAAGTCCACTACTGCAAAATGAGAAAGAAAAAGTATCTTTTAGCCTTCTTATATTATCAAATTCAAGAGCCACAAAGAAACAGGAAATAATTTTTTAAAGAAAAGATGTAGCTGAAATATTTATAGAACCTTAGGACACCCGTGGCACAATAACTGCTTTGTTTTCAACTGTTCAGTACTTAGGCATTCCATGATTAAAGTACTTTCTACTCTTCACTTCTTCAGCCTGTAGCTCTTATCATAAAACTGAATACCAAAGTAATCCCAAAAGAGGAAGTTTCCTTGCATGTGATTTCCAGCTAAGTATTTTATCAAGAACAATAGAAGCACCTTAGTATAAGAGTTTAAAATTTGCTATCTTTTACATCTGAAAGGTGTTCAAAAGCAGTCTGGCATAAAAATATTGATCATTTAGTCAAAAGAAACTAGAATAATTTAAAGTTTTCTCTGTTGGACACTGTTTGTAAAATGAAAGGCTAGAACAATTGTATCCAAGAGATATCATCATTTTATCTTTTCTGTACTTACTGTCTGAGGATTCATTTTACCCGTCATTAGAGCCAGCAAGTCAGCATCAGCCATTGTAATTGTACAATCAGCCTTCTTATCTGTAACACAGCAAAGTTGGACTGTTTAGCATCAAGTGGAGAAAGAGAGATGAAGTTTGTTAGCTTTAGGTGAAAGTCATTTCAAAGCTCTTGAGGATGCAGGTGAGTTATGGGAACAAAGAAGTCATAGTTTGCAGGATCACATGCTACTTCTTAACAACTCAGGAGAGGATGGAAAGAAGGGGGATAAATTGCCAACAGGTAAATGGCATCATAACTGATCAATATATGTGAAGGGTTGTGTCAGCAGAAATTTTGATCAAAGACTCCCTCTTACACAAGAATCTGATAGAGCCCCAAGCAGGACTTCTACCATATAACCTATGCAATCAAGCAATATTCAAGTATAAACACTGTAACTTCATTAATAATAAGGAACAGAGGGATTAGAAGGCATTGAAACCTTAAGTCTTTTTTCTTTAGTCTCCTGGGACTACTAGGGCATAATCAGAGCTAGGCCACGCAATGGGGAGTTAACATCTGATGGCTGCTGGCAACCTGTAAAATAAGCTTGCAGTCACAGTCCAATTCCAAAAGGATTAGGAGTCCTAATAGCAAGGGGGCGGGAGGAACAGAAACAGAGAGAAATTGAATACACACTCCTCTTAATGCTGGTCAAAGGACTTCAGTGACATTCAACTGCCCACTAAAATCCCTGGATATTTCTACACATGCACGAGCCAGGCCCTTTCAATTAATCGAGTCTACTCCGAAGCAGCGGATCTCCAGTACGTCACTGGAAAAAAGGTATGTGTATAAATTCCCCGTGGCTCTAACTGGGAAGGTTCTAACTTGGTACAGGCAGTCCAGAAAAAAGCCATAAAAATATCTTATGTGGAAGGACACCTTTGGTACCTTTAAGAGGCTTGAACAGGCTTTGGAGCAGCCAACAGGTGTGGGCAGCCTAATGAGGAGGTCACATGACCGCACGAGGGCCTCTGGATTGGAGGATGGAGCTGGGCAGCCTCCCTACAAACCCAGGCCCTCATAGTTGAGCTGGCAGTTGCATCTAGGGAGGCAGAGTGACAATACTGCCCAGCTGGAGCTGGAACTAAAGCTGCTGCTCCCAGAACACCTGGAGGACAAGGAGATTCCTGGTCTGGGGAATGACCTAAAACTACACTCTGCTGAGGTGGATGGTGTAGTGGGGCTGTCCATGGCAGGATGGTCCCCAGGAAATGCCACACCAGTGCCTCCCTAGTGAAAGATGAGTATGGGGCACCATAAAGCCTCAGCCCCCACAACCTGGTGGGTTACCCTGTAGAGGGGACAGGTGATGGGTCCAGGCATGTCAAAAGCCCAAGGGGCATCAGGCCTAGTAGCCCTGGTGAGGGGGTGGTGCAGTGGCCCCAATGAGAGGGCATGTGTAAGTAGGCTGTGTAGAGCAGGGTCTGCGCTGGGGGGGCCTTAAGGACTGTGCTTAGGCTGGCCTAGAGATCAAGTGAGCTATGTCTGGAAGAGCCCAAAGGTGGACCTGTATGAGAGGGAGAGGGCTAGCTGCTCAAGAACCAAGCCAGGAAACCCTCAAGTGGTCAATGCTGAGGCCAGGACCAGAATGGTCAAAAGGCAAAGATGCCCACCACAAGGGATAGCCAGAGCCAGGGGTTTTGACTGGTCTAGAGGTGAGGCCAGGGCCTGCAAGGCCAAAGGTCCCAGAGGGGGCCACTGCCAAGAGGGAAAGGTGTCTAGGGAGTTTGCAGCATTGCATGATGGTGGAGGTTAGGCCGCCTGACTAGGAGGGATCCAGGTTGGGGTTCAACTTACCAGACTAGAATGTAATGGGGCTCAGTGTGGGGCCAGATCCATATAGTGATGCCATCTGAGAGGCATGGGACACAGTGTAGGAATGGCACGGAGCTGTGTATTATACCTTTGGCACTGGGCATTAAATGGGCAGCCTCCCACCTATAAACTACTTCCAAAGTTACATCAAAGGCATGGCAGGCAAGGCAGGTGGGCAGACTGCCCTAGGCATATGAGCAGGCCAATGATTAGACAGGCCTCATGGTGGCCCCGTGTCAGATTTCTGAGCATCTCTTTACAAATCCTGATAGAGGAGATATGCCAGCAGGGGGGTGAACATATTCCTGGGCTGAGCTTAGCATGCACCATTATAGTTTAGAAGTAACACAACTAGTCCCTAAGTTGCCCTAGTTCAAGTGACTTAGCCTTATCATAGCCTCTTCTGCTCCTGACTTGCAAGTACTGTGCTACTTAAGTGCTACACACGTTTTAGACAGAATAAAATCACCCTGAACATTCATCACTAAACTAGTTTGGATAGTCCCTCCAGAACTAGCCTGATGCATACTTGAAGAAAGCAGATTCCAACATGGCACTGGCTGTTCTTTATGCTGGATTATATGGAGTAAAATTTAGTAATTGTGAAAGGTGCTAAAGACATTCACTGATATCAAACAGATCCATGTAGGATGAGTTAGAAAGTGAAAAGTTAACTTCTCAATTGAAAGGCCTTTTTTCTTTCTTTAAAACACTTTTGATTCTTATTATCAAAGTTAATTTCTAAGTAAAAGTAACAGTCACTTTTTATTCTCTCTCTCTAAGGCACTTCCTGGAGATACAAATCACTAAAACTTCAATTTCAGGCATTTCCTGCCCAGCACTTCTCAAAAGGAGCGGTGTGGGAATGTTTGTTCCAAAATTCTCAGAGCTGCAGCTGCTGAACTGGAAGGCCAGAAGGTTTAAGGAACTCCAAGACCATCTGAAAATGTCTGTGTCCATTATTAATTTTGTGGATGGATTTTGATTAAAATTGAAAAGACAAACATATTACACAATAATTTTAAGCAGCTTCTAGAATTCTTAATGCCTGGACTGGCTGCACATTAACACCTTTTAAGTGGCTAAAAGCACTCATTATTTGGTTTAAATTATGCCACTCCAGAGGGCCAGTTTATCTCTAATGTTCCTAGTTTTGCTCCTGTTTTATTAAGGTGTAGCCACTCCAGGTAGCTATTCCGCCCAAATTGAAGTCCTTCAGCATCCCAGGATGCAACGGCACCTTGGGCAAATGGAGATGCCAGGGTGCAATGGGGCAGGCACAACGCCCTGTCTCCCGGGCATTTCGGACAGAAGGAGTACCACAGCCGTGGAGCTCCTGATGACTGTGATGGCCCCCACTGCCACTGAGACCAGCTCTGTTCCCAATGGCCCAAGCACAGCGGCTTGGAGCACCGCCACCCATTGCTGCTGGGATGGGCTTGCTCTGCCCAGTGGGAGCAGAGCTGGTCCCAGCACCAGCAGAGGGCACTGCACACCCCCCCACACCGCTGCTGCACTCAGACTGACTTGTTTTGCCCAGCAGTAGCAGAGGCGATCCCAGGGGGAGGGGGCAGTGCTCGCTCTACTGCTGACTGGCTCATTCTGCCTGGCAGAAGCAGAGCTGATCTTGTCCCCAACTCCTAGTCCTCCCCAGCCCACCAAGCCGCTAGTGGCAAATCACAGCTGTGCAGGTGACGAGCAGTCAGAACAGGTTTTCTGCCTTAAGGTGCAACTGCTCCACTAAGCCAATCAACACTAAGTTGATTAGTACTTCAGTTTCATAGTTTGTAGGGTCAGAAGGGACCTTGACAGATCATCAAGTCCGACCCCCTGCCATGGCAAGAAAGAGCACTGGGGCCAAACGACCCCAGCAAGGTGTTCATCTAGCCTCCTCTTAAAGCCCCCCAGGGTAGGAGCCAGCACCACTTCCCTTGGAAGTTGGTTCCAGATCCTAGCCACCCTGACTGTGAAGTAGTGCTTCCGGATATCTAGCCTGAATCTACTCTCAGTCAACTTATGGCTGTTATTCCTTGTTACTCCTGGGAGTGCTCGGGGGAACAGGGACTCCCCGAATGCCTGCTGGTCCCCTCTGACTAGTTTGTAAATGGCCACTAGATCCCCTCTCAGCCTTCTCTTGTGGAGGCTGAACAGGTTCAGGTCCCGTAGCCTCCCCTCGTAGGGCCTGCCCTGCTGCCCCCTGACCATGCGAGTGGCCCTCCTCTGGACCCTCTCCATGCTGTCCACATCCCTCCTGAAGTGCAGCACCCAGAACTGGACGCAGTACTCCAACTGCGGCCTGACCAATAGAGGGGGAGGATTACCTCCTTGGACCTGCTCGAGATGCATCTGTGGATGCATGACAAGGTATGGTTGGCCTTCCAGATCGTGCCCCACACTGTCGGCCCATGTTCATTTTGGCATCAATAATGATTCCAAGATCTTTTTCTGCCTCTGCACTGATGAGAAGGGAGTTCCCCAGCCTGTAGGTCTGCTGCTGGTTCTTCCTCCCCAGGTGCATCATCTTGCACTTGTCAGTGTTGAAACCCATCCTGGTCTCATCTGCCCACCCCTATAACCTGTCTAGGTCCAATTGCAGCCTATTCCTCCCTTCTAGCATGCCCACATCCCCCCACATCTTAGTGTCATCAGCAAATTTGAATAGGGTGCTTTTTATCCCCTCGTCCAAGTCACTGATGAAGATGCTGAACAGCGTGGGTCTGAGGACTGAGCCCTGGGGGACCCCACTGCCCACATCCCTCCAGGTCGAAAATGACCAGTCCACCACCACTCTCTGGCTGTCAGCGTAACAAAGCCATAGTATAGTATAGTACAGTACAGTACAGTGCATGAAATTGCTCTTTGAAATGCCTTTGTAAGCACAGCAGCATAAAAATCTCCTTTGAAGTAACATTATCTTAGTGATATCAATTTCAGTTATATAGTTGTGCTGTTTCCAATAACAACATTATAAAAGTCAATTTACCCAACTCTCTAAGGTACATTAAGTAAACAAATTCTAGGCTTGCTTTCTTTTCTCCACTTCAGTGCAAAAAAGACATTTGTCAAATGCTTACCTCCCTTTTTCCAATGCCTTGGATGCCTTTTGTAACACTCTAA